AGAACCTACCACACCACGGTTTGCCAATCCGAGACAGTCAGTAATAAGCCGGCATGGCCTGTGGTTGACTTAATGCTGATCATGCCCACCAGAAAAAGCACGAGAATAAAGGACAGGCTCACAATGGTATCAACACTGCGCTGTGGTCCCTTTCGTTTAAGGAACGATCGCAGGGATAGCCACATCTTGATGTTGGTGATCTGTGGGAGGGGATATAGGGTTAGGGTTTAGGGTTCAGGGGTTTAACCCACGATAGTAATAGCATGTACGGAAGGAGAGACTTGTTACTAGTATAAACCTCCAACTGAAAAGAATTGACTTGGTATTATTTACGAATCAGCTTTACCCTTTGGGCCCCGTAGTTTTATATGAAGTACACTATCTCGATTAAATTTTCTAAGATAGAAGACGTACAAACCACATGCACGTATGCAAAGATGATTATTCTACATACTATATATAACAGATTATGGACATACATGTACACGTATACATACACACACACACACAAACACACGTGCAAGCACATACATACATACTGATGCAATATACACGCATACATGCACACATGCACACATACACACAGAATATGCACATACATGTACACGTACACATATACACGCACACACAAACAGACGTGCAAGCACATACACACACCCGTATGCAATATACACACATACATGCACACATACACACAGTGTGTTTCGCACCTTATGCAGTCGGAAGTGGGGCAGGCCGTATCGGCGCCCTCTCCGTGCCGATGTCAGAGCAGAGAAGTACTTTGCGTACAGAAAGCGCTGGAAGTAAGTGTGCTCAGCCACCGCTAGGGCAAAAACCACACAGAAGCCACAGATAAACGTACCCAGCGCAGAGGTGGTGACGATCAGCCAGGAAATGAGTGTTTCGCCAAAGGCACTCGAAAGCACCTGCAATGCGAACGGGAAAGGGACGGTACATGTGTATATGAATATATATATATATATATATATATATATATATATATATATATATATATATATATGTGTGGTGGTGTGGTGTGTAGTACGTAACTAACGTACG